GAGACAAACAGACACAGGCACAGGCACAAACACAAACAGAGACAGACCACAGACGCAGACACAGACACGCACACAGACACACAGACACACACAGACACAGGAATGGGCATGAACTGTATTTAGGGACCTTTTGGACATTATCAGAATTCATGTCCAATCACTTTCAAGATGGTCCGGACTCTTAACAAATCAACGCCATCTGGTACGTGCAAGGAGGTAGGGAAGTTCATAGGCAGTTCACCAGAAAAGACTCAGTTTGTGTCCCTGAGCATAGAGAAAGAAGAATTGCCTTTCCATTGTGATACCACTAGCAGAGCGTAGAGGGTGTTCAGAGATACATTTGGCCAGCATGGAAATCACTTGTACCAGCTGATTTGGAGGACCTCTTCGTCAAACAAACGTTTGGATCCATTTCATCCATTTCCCTAACCGAAGTGAAACCTTGTTGGAAGACTTGGTTCCATTTGCAGAGGCCTTCTGGCAGATTCCATGTGAGTCTGAGGGAGTGTAAGTCTCAAGCTGGTATCCAAGCTTGCCTCAGAGGCTCGGGCCTTTCGAGTTCTGTCAGTGGATTGGCGGAAAAATCAAGTCCAGACTTCTTCATCTACCACTAAAACGGCCCAAACCCAAAAAGTGTGTTTTTCTTCTCCTTTTTCAGAAAAGTGCAGCAACTCGGGAAGTGAGAGGTCTTCGGAGCTTCCGGCGATCGATCGCCTGGGAGTGGGATTTCTTTGGGAGGCGTGGTTTTCGGCAAACTGGGAGGAAGCATAGAACAGGTAAGCCTTGATTGGTGGATTGGATTGGATTACCCAATCCAAACCACCGATTGGAAGCTGAATGCCTGGTCAAAGAGTGGAATTGCCCCCCCCCCCCCCCAAAACCAAACCACTCGGCAAAAAAAGCTGATGTTGTTTTTGGTGGGGTGCCCTCTCAGCGCAAACTTCTGAACATGATCCATCCATTCGGCTCGCCTTCCGATTCCTTTCGGGCTGTGGGAAGGGATTTACTTACCCAACTGATTGAAGCTGATTGCAATGAAGCCACGAACTGGATTTCATGAATCTTCATGGTGAATAGGGGTTCTTCGCAAATCAACCCCTAATCCCTAACCCAACAAAGGATCGGTTTCGGCCAAACAACATTCATCAGGATCCTTCAATTCGCCAATTCGTTCAAACCCCCGGCCCAAACAGGGCCCCGAGAACAACCAAAAAAAGGTAGCCCCCGCAGAAAACACACACGGGTGTATCTTTTCGTGGACGCCCCGCAAAATGGTGGCATTCCCTTTAACTTCCCCTTTGAAACCCTGCAAAAGGCTTGAGGCGGACTCAGACTCCTCGCCGGTCGCAAGTTAGTCGAAGCCGCAGCCCTTCGGGGCGCCCCGTTGGCTCCAGGCCCATGACGGAGCTCGCTGGGGTCGTACGCGAGCTGCGCTCTGGGGCTTTCTGGCCGCTGGCTTGCTCTTGAGGCCAACTTTGGACAGAAGTCCCGCAATTGTGGGCGCGCAGGTCAAAGGAGCCGTCAAAAAAAACACACTCGAGTTTTGAGGGTGCCAGTTGTTGTTGGTGGCTGAAAACAGGGGAAACAAGCAGGAAGGCACTCATTTTGGGGGGGTTGACCCCTAACAAAAGCAAACACCCCCCACATGTTACTTCACCCCACGGGCGAGACGGACGCCCCGCGTCCGCCGCTTGCCCCCGCGACCTCCCGCGACGGAGCGTCGGCACGAGCGGTGGGCGCGCCAGGGCCGGCACCGAGGTGGTCTCCTGATCCCTTGGCTCCGCGAGGCCCGCGATGACACCGAAGAAGGTGAGGATGTAGGAGGCCTGGGAAACCCCTCCTGCGGGTTTCAAAGGCCTTGGTGTGAAGTTCCGTTTAGGACTTGGACCTTCATGTTTTGTTTTTGGTTTTTTTGCGATTCCCTTGGGAGGAAAGCTTGTTTAGTGAGGACTCAACTGGGGTGAGGTTGTGAAAGGGCTCGGTGTGTTGTTGAGTTGATTTAGATTTGGACCCCCAAAAAATTCCTTCGGCGGTGCTCTTGGTGGTCTTTTGAAAACCACAAAAAAGGGGTAGGAGGAAAGCTTGCTTTGCCTGCTACTGTGAATGGACAAAATCCTGCACCACTTTGAAACCATTGGAAACCATTGTTGGTTGGTATTTACAGAGGAATCATCATTCCAGAATTTCTTAGGCGGTGCAGGATTTTGTGCATACGCAGTATGGCACCCTTCTCGTCTTGATGGACAGGCTTCATGAAGCAGACCTTCCACATGCATGACTTGCGCATATTCGGCAAGAATTCACCAGGACCTGAACCGAGGGATCCGCAAAGGACATCATGGCTGGCCGGCTCATTTTACCGAGTCGGCGAGCTTGCCTGAAAGGCAGAGGTACTAACCCCAAAATTGAGGAAACATATCTTGGTATGTGTCAAAGTCTCACTTGAGACTTTGGGCCAAACAAAGTTTGGCTTTCTGTGTACCACCAAATGCCTCCCACCGGTGCTAGCCCATGTGGGTTGGTCAAAAATAACTGTCGATCTAGAGTTGGGTTATGTGTTGCTACCAACATTACCTCACCTAGAAGCTTCGCCCCCCAATAGATGGTGTCCTCGTTGGCTCGACTTCTTCTTGTTTCCAGTATCCAAAATCCAAAGCCTGCCTCGGCTTAACGCAGGGGAACCCGAAAGAACACTCTAAAGTATGCGTTGCCTGTGAGGCTTGGTCTCGACAGCACCATTGACCAGCCAGTGCCTTGCCTGACATAAACCCGCAGAGGTGAGCACAGCATCCTGCCGCACACCGATGACAGCCCCAGCATGCACCATGCCGCGTGCCCGCCGGCACAAGCGGCTTGCCTCCGGGCCCATCACCAGCGCCCTGCTCAGGTTTTTGGACCGCCTGGGAGGCTCTGCGGCCATGTTCACCTTCTGTAAGGAATGGACTACGTCCACCGCGGATGTCCTCAATCACGACACGCAAAGGGCAAAGACTGGACTTCCTACTATTTGTCTAGGGGTAGCTTCCCCATTCTTTTCAGGGATACTTCTTTCTAGAAGCCACCAAAAACCCCGGGAAAAATGATGGTTTTTGAAAAGAACGATGGCTGAAAAAAATGGGGAATCGACCCCTAGAATTTGACGTAAAACAGCTCCTTGCACAGCTCCGGCGAAGTGGTGCTTTCTCGCAGTACTGGCGGCCGTCTCCATCCATAACGATCGCCCTCCAGCCACCCAAACAGTCCATGAACTCAGACATCGGAGAACCTTCAAACTGGTGAGTTGTCCTTTGGTTTCCCTTCAAAAACCCGCCCAAAAGATGGGTACCATACTTCAAGCGAGGTCAACATTTGCCAGCCCTATGGATCAGATCCGTGCTTCTTAACTGGCCGAACAGCTTTGGGGAGTTGGCGCCAAAAAAAACTACCAAACAAAAACTTTGAGCTTTGCCCCTTGGCCTTACTGACCTTTTGGCCTTCTGTGGCCCTCTTTCCCACCTACTCGGGTCTTTTTTGGGTGGACCCTTTTTCTATGGTGTGACAAAAAAACCGAAAGACACCCACCCATGCTGGGGCTGGGGAATGTCCCCTATTTGGAGACAAACCCATTTGGAAACTTTCAAACCCTGGGCCAACATGTGATGCTTCACACAACCAAGACGGGACATAATGGGAAATATACGGAACCCTGAGTATTCTGTGCTGCCCTCCAGCAACCGAGCCCTCCTCCTCCTTCTCCACCTCCGCAGAAGACTAAGGATAATGTTGGTAGTTGCTCAAATGGGACGAGTGGTATTATACTTCTTGCCAGTTGATGAAACCTCAGGATGAACAAGAGTGGTTTCCGAAACTCAATGTGAAACATGACTTGCGGGTCAAGACCAAATGGTCGTCCACTTACAAAAGGAGAACCAAACCACGGTACACATCTGTACATAAAATATGCATATTTAACAACAAAAAAAAAGTGCTTCTCGAAATGGTGGACCCGCTTTGGCATTCTTAGGCTGAAGACCAAAAGGAAACTACGCTTTTGGGGGGAATCCATATCTTGAGCCGCTCGACCACACGGTGCTCCCTCCCGCGCCTCCAGGGGCGCCCAGGTGAAGACAAGCCTGGCGAGTGAGCCGAAGGTTTGCCCCGAAGGTTTGAAACCCGGTGGCTCAAGGGCTTAAGTATGCTGAAGAGCATCTCAGCCAGGGCAAAACATGTAGGGCAAGTGCTGACATCTTGTGGACGGTTGCAAAATCCCATTTCGCACCCAAGGCGGTGCGGACGGAGTGGAAAATCCACGGGCCTTACTGTACCCCCCACGAGGCCAACTAGACTCACAAAAAAACCTTGGCCCTTTCAGAATCGGATTTTTTTGGCGCCTCGGTTCGCTTTCCCCCCTCCCCCACTGCCCGGCCCCCTGCCTGGGCATGCGCAAGTCCTCGAAGTCCGGGTAGCTCTTGAACTCCATCATCTTGGGGATCACCAAGCCATCGCCCAGGCCTCTCGCTTGACGCGAGACATGGAATCGACCAAGACCGCTTTTTGTTGGTCGAATTGCAGACTTCATACGGGTGTGTCTTCATTTGTTTTGGGGGGAGCCTCCAAAATGGTTTCGGTGTTGCTTGTGCTGTCCTTTTGTACACCCATCAAAAACGGGTACCCTCAAAAAAGACAGACTTGATACGGAAGAGACTCAAAAGGTCTCCTCAAAGTGAAGCTGTGCCTCCATGTAACGCTTGCTGCGAACCACTGAATCAGCTGGCGAACAAATATAGAACAAGGGAAACCCTCCGGTCGATCCCTGAGAAAAGTTGGCTTAAAACTGTTTGGTCCGGCCAGTAGTTGGGTGCTCGGCTGAGTTAGTAGGTTGTTGGTAACCTGGGTTGTAACCAGCTTTATAAGTCCCGTAAGTGGAGTTAACCTTGTCATTGGCGGGTTATAGCTCAGGTCGCTAACCCCTTACCAACCTGGCTGAACATCTAAATAGTACTTGCATGGTTTCCCTTTTTGCGGAAGAAACTAAAAACTGGTTGTATTCAAAGCAACCGGGTAAAGCTGAATCAGCTGGTGACATCTTTGCTTTTTGGTTGTTGATTTCAAAGGGCAACAACCTCTGTTTGTTGGTTGTTTCATTTTCCAAAAACAAGAAGGACAATAACATAAGAAACAAGACACACATAATCAATTCACTGCCCTGAGTGCGTGCCTCTCTTCTCTTTCCTCCGCTCTCCGCACCCCCCCAGGCCATCGACCTCCGAGCCGCCCTCCCTCTTGGGCTCCGGCAGCAGAGAGTAGCCCCCAGGACCAGCCCCTCCACCCAGCTGTACTGCAGCGCAGCCACGGCGAAAACCTGGGTCGACTCGATGAGTCGACTCGACTCGATGGGTTCCAGTGGCTTCTGCTTCCCAACTTCCATTTGGTTAAGGCCCCAGGAACAAAAAAATAATCCGGAAAAAAATCTCCGGTAGTGATGCATTCCTGTTAAAACCGAGGAAATCAAAACATGTTCTTAAGCAAACGGCGGCCAATCTGCGGCTTCTGTCCCATGGAAGAAATCTGCGGAAGCCATAGGTCCATCAGCGAAATCGATGGCCTTTGAAACCAAGGCGAAAAAGAGAAACATATTTGCTTGGCTGGAATTAGGACCCCACATAACACAATAATATTCATTTCAGATGGGAGTGTGTGGTTTTAAGGATTTGGATCCCCGAAATGGTGTTCCTTTTAGATTCCCTTTAAACCAGAAGAAAAAAAAAGTACCCAAAGTACCCTCAAAAGGACATGTGACACCCATTTCAGAGGGAAACCTTCACTTGGGGGGGGGCCACTCCCCGAAAGATCCGGCACGCGACATGACCTCCACCAAAAAAGAGGAACTTCTTAACTTCTTTGACGAGGCTGTGCGCACGTGCCTGCAACAAACGGGTTGACCTGCGATCTCGTAGCGGCACCAAACATCACCTTGCGAGGCTACCTTCCCCGCTTGGCTTCAAAGACCTGGGGGCTCCTTTACCCCCATCTGCTTGTTTCTTTGTGTTTCAAAGAACACCAATCAAGGGCTCCTTCCGCATTTGGTTTCAATTCATCTGGGGTTCCTTTACTCCCCCACCCAAAACCAATCAATAAACAGAACTTGGGCCCTCCCACTAACACGGGTTTGTGCACAAACCCCCTCCAGAGGGAAGTCGTCTTTCCTTGGTTGCTTTCTGCTCGGCTAAAAGTGACTCACTGTTAGTGGGTTCAATGGAAAACCCATTAGTCGGCAAAAAAAACAAAAAGTCCTAACATCCCTTGGCAAAATGCAACAAAGTTTCTACATCGGTCCCAAGCCACTTCCCTGGAATCCTCGGTAGCTGAAGACTCCAGCGGATCGCGGCTCGATCTCTCCAAGGCGCCGCCACGCCCAGCAGCTCTAAGGTCACCGGGATCAACGCGTAGACCTCGTGTTGGGTGAGCTTTGGACCCAAAAGCCCCCGCCCCGCCCGAATTTGAGGGCTCGGACCCATCTGTCAGGATCCCATCCCATCCCATCCCCCCCCCCAAAAAAAAAGGCACCGCCCTGGTTCTCCCCTCACGTCCGATCGAGTGGATCGGCCAGACCCACCAAATGAACTTTGCAAAAAGCAGAAAGCTCAGGAACTTAGGGAGTGAGTCTCCATTATTTGGGCTTAACGAGCTCGCAACTTTGCGAGTACCCGTTTCGTTGATCGGACTATGCAAAACGGATGTCGAGCAATGGCTCCAACTGTTCACTGCTCACAAACCGAAGGGTGCTGGCGCCTTCGCGAAATGCACGGTGTTGCCTTTGGAAGCCTTGAGCCACCCACATCTGACATGCGTCTGTGCAAAGCAAAACAAACAAAAGTTCGAGAAAACCAAAAACCCAAAAACTCGACAAAGCTAAAAAGCAAACAAACAAAAAAACAAAGCACGGAATGTTCAGAGTCTTCCCTATTTGTCTGCATCTGAGCAATAAATAAACTTGAGAAAACCATTGAATACCCCAAAAACAATATGGGAACTCTGTGACACTCTCTGAATATTGTTTTTGCTTCTTTGTTTTGGGGTGTTCTCAAGGCTTGTTATTATTACCTTTTTTAACCACACCAGGCCTTGAAGGATAATAATTTCCTCTGAATGTTGTGTTTGTGTGTTGTTTAGTTCTGTCGAGAATCTGTGCTTTGTTTCTCCTCATGTATCTCTGCCTGAGTCTCCACTTGCCAGGCTTTTTGTCTTCCCTTGGGTCCGCCGAACGTAGGGTCCAATGGCCTCATATCCCCGATCGCTGAGTTCCAGCGACGCATCTTCAGCTTATCCAGTCGTTGAGTGAAAGTGCAGGAAGAAACCACTGGCTGGTCGAGACATCTCTACTCTTGGTATGGGTTGGCGAAAAACTGACTGTTTTTTGCAGACCCCCAGTAAAAATGAACAGAACCAAAAAAAAAACATGCCAAGAACATTCTATTTGGAACTGATCACTTAGCTTAAAGGCCTGTGATATTTGGAACTCCTAAAGTCAGTTTCTTTTAATAAGAATTCTAGTTCATTCCAATTAAACATCCACTTATATGCAGGAATTATATTTGAACTAACCAGAAGAAACAACCAGCTTGCCTTTCCTTACCAGATTCCATTTAAAGTCTCATTAATATCTAAACAACTTCCTAGATACTTGTAAAGGATTGATTGCCTATTTAGAACATGATTCAAAATAAGACTTATAATTAGATTACGTGAAACAACAGCCAGCTTGTCATTAAAATTATAATTGGAAAGGGCATCCTATTGTAATCATAATTAAACAAAAAGTACTAACAATTGAACTCTCATTGAGATATCATTTAAGCTTGAAGCATTGCACTGTAAAGGTGCAAACAAAAAACTGATATTACATGTTCCTGAAGTTTCTACTGGTATGTCGCTTCTTTCCACACTAGGTTCCATTTGCACTCTGATTCAATTATATTGCCAAACAGGAATGTGTGTGCCAACACAGTTTGCCCAAGTGCATCTTGAACCATCCAAACCACATGCTTCAATGAATTTGCTGCAAACAATTCCACATCATGCAAAAGGCTACCATGCATGTGTGTTTCTTCCTAGTTCCCAGCACCACGTTGGCCAGCAACGCCGTAATATGCAGTGTGGCTGACCATTCTCCTCTCAAAGAACGCATCCGAGCAGCCGCTGAATAAGCCACTACCATACTGTGGTTGCGAAATTTGGGTGGCATGTGGCTTTCCTTTAGAAACCTGCCAGTGGTTTGGGTTTGGATTACCCCTGAGGGTAGTTGGGTGTGGCTCAAAGTTAAAGAACTAGCGGTAGGCAGGTTTTGCTCTTTGGTTCCTTTTGCCTTTTGGTGCCACGTTGGTTTACATTTGTTTGAGCCACGGAGAAGAAACCCAACGGAATGATTCGATTCCGCAATGTAAAATAACCAACCCACGTTGTGGTTTCAACCCTGGTTTCGAAGTGGTGCGATTTCTAGACATCGCAACCATCCAGGGCATGCTTCGTGGTCGCTCATGCTTTTGTATCGAGTTTTCAGGGCTGGCTTCCCATGAATTACGGCTGCGAGAAACTGGGGGGGGGTTCAGCCGCGGTCTGTAGTCTGCCCCGCGATCCCGCTGTATTACATGTGGATTGTGATCATAGCTTGGCAAACACTACTGACATTGGTGGTGGCCAGAATCTTATTTTAAGGGTTTGATGACAGTCCCTGCTAAGTCGAGTAAAAGGTTGTTGACAGTGGCAGATACTCCGCTGCAAATTGACATTGAAGCAACAAAGGATTTCCCCTAAAAAGGAGATTCCTTTGGAGATGTTGCTTCATTCCATGTTAACCTGCGGCCGTATGATTCAAAAACCTGAAACGAGAGACCCCCAAGTAAAGGAGCTATAGCTTTCGCTCGTGTCACCCGCGATCGCTGGAATCGCTCGCCGAATTGAAAAGGCGGAAAAACACGTCGGCTAAAAAGACATGCCCTGGACAGTCCCTTACTAATCAGCTTTGGATTGGTGGTTTGGAGGGGTGGTTTCATCGATGGTGGTAAATGGAAGCCCCATCTACACCAGTGCCGTCTTTTTCAACCAAACTCACCTGACACCTGTGGTTTCCCATTTGCCCTCAAGAACCAGGGGTTCAACTCGCTCCCCAAAACCACCAAAACCCACGTGACACATTTCCTAAGGCTCCCCACGAAGGTCACCACATTGAGCTCCTCCACGTTGATCTCCTAGGCGTGGTTTCCCATTAAAGTCACTTGCTCAAAACCGATCGGTACTAAAATGGGAAACCATAGGTATGGTTGCCCAAAATGGTTGCTTAATGGTTGCCCAAAACCTATGGTTTCCCATTTGCCCATCTACCCAGAACCATGTACAGGATCTTCCGAAGGCGGAGATCCGCAGCTATTGATGGCAAGGGGATCCTCCCTTTCTATCCTTCATCTACCCGGGTTTTGAGCAAGTGGCTCATTTGTTGAAACCAGAACATCCGCTGGCTTTTTACGGGAAACAACCAGGAGGCTGTTTAAACGGTGGTTGCCCTGTTTTTTTTTTTTTCTGTGAAAGGCAACGTCTGGTGGTTTAAACTATTGTTGCAACCATGGAATTGCATGTCCCGAGATAAATTTGCTGCCCTAGTCTCTTGGTCACTGACGCGGGTGCTCCGGACTGTGCGACCGGAAGAGTTCAGGAACCCTTCAGCCTGAAAGCGCGAAAGCCAGCCTCTTCCAACTCCGAATATCCTGGGCCAAGACTCTAAAAAAATCAGCTGTTGGGAAAAACAAATTCATCCCCTTCAATTTTCCTTGAGGGGAAAATTCAATATGAATGATGTGCTACTTGACAACTGGTTCATTGGCTGGAAGGATATCTTGTTTTTTGAACTCGGACCGTCAGACGAATCGATCAACGCTCGAGTGTTCCGACCAGGATCTTGACGCTCGCACTCGCTAGCTGCGAGGGATCTAGGGACGGACATCGCTTTCAATCAGCAGCCTCCAGAACCTCTCTGGAACCCTAGCCCACCCCAAACCGGTAACCGCTGGTAAAGAAAAAGAAGTCAAGTCCAGTTGGGTGTGTCTGAGAATCGGGGGACCTCAGAACAATTGCCACCAAATAGGTTCCCTCAACAAAAAAACACACCCAGCTGGCATCACACAACAGCTGTGTGAACCTGCACGTTTTCGAACCTGTCGCCCAAATCCGAGCGGCTCTTGATTAGATTCCGGGAACAGCGGTGCCTATTTCATGGTAAGTCATCATCTTGTCTCATCCGTAAGCCATGTTGACCTGAAAGCATTGATCCGAAGCAAAACAAAACAATCATGCCCGAGATTTCAACCCTTTCAAATAAAAGTTCCTGGTTAGCCAAGTTGCTGTTTTTTTCAGTCACGGTTGCTGGTTTTTGAGGTAGAGTGCATGGAAAAAAGCAGCAACTGGCGATCCAGGTTGACCCAATTTAGCTGATGACAGCCCTTACGCAAACAGTGGTCATGTGGTGGTGTGAATCTCAGGGCATCGGTATATTGCCTTGAACAAGACCCCGAAGTGATGGTTTCCTTTTTGGTGTCCCTTTGAAACCAACCCAACATGGGTTCCCCTAAAAAAGACAAACCCTGATCGAGCGGAGCTGTGAAATGAGCTGTCGAATCGTTCAATTGTCTTTCAAATGTCAGTTTCGCTTACAGAAAACGGCCCAGGGTCCAGAGTCCACACAAACTTCTGGGTCGGTGATCAAAAGAAACCGCTGGTTCGGGGGTTCACACATAGGTGATCAAAAGAAACCCCGGGTTTTGGGGGATCGAAACCCACATTCTCACAAAGAACTTCCCATCTATCCCTCCGGTTCCGGCACCCTCCGCGCCCCAAAGCCTCCAAACCGCCTGCGGAGTTCGCCCAACACCCGGCGCTGTCGTTCTCTTTGATTTCGGCTCGGGGCGCGAAGCCGGCGGTGAGCAGAACCAGAAAGAAGGCCAAGCTCTGCAGGTGCTCTCGGCCCTGCGAACACGAAAACTCGCTGGGAGCGCGGAGAAGCGGCGGTTGGCTGTGAGTTGGCGGTGGTTGTCAAACATTTGGTAACCTCAAAATGGGTTGCCCTGGTAAATAAAACCAAGGACTAAAACGGGCGCTCCCAATTTTGACCCACACTCAGTTGGGAAGGAACACAGTGCCTCCAGATACAATCTCACTTCCGATCGAGTGGACTGGCCCGAAAAAAGAAGTATACACAAACGTCTGTTTACCACTACAATGGTCCAGCCCCAGAAAGTGACTCAAGTCCATGAACTCAGGGGGTGAGCATCAGAAACCATGGCAGATCAAATGGTTTGCTCGAACCTCGGATTGAGCAGAACTGGTTGGCTTTGATCGGGGGGTCCCTGGGTTTGGTTGGGATTCATTCAAAACACTTGCAGGGGGAAGCATTCATCCGAAATTCCCATTACCTCCAATGGATTGGTCTTGTTTCATCGATTGGTCTTGTTTCATCCGTTTTAGGGGTAATGGCAAGAAAGGGACACCATCCATTCCCACTTTGGAGACATACTCACAAGTCGAAACAACAGTGGGTTGTCCCTCGAAAGGATAGTGTCCCCTCCGCAACCCGTCAAATCCACTCCAAAAGGGATACACTCCAAACAAGCCCACATGAGACACGTCAAAACTGAGAACGCTTGGGTTCGTCCACCATGTTCCCCACAAACCACAAACAGAACGACCGAGCCTCACATGGGACTTTCTGTCTTGCGTGGCAGCATCTACCATTCGTTTCATTTCCGATCAAGACTGACTGGCCCAAAGAAGCAACACAAACTTTTATTGTGGCACTAAAATTGGTCCAGCTCCAAAAAGTGACTAAGGCTAAGGTCCGAAACGGAACTCAGGAAGTATTGGTATTGGTCTCTGTCTGGGACTTCTTGCGCGGTGCGATTGCTGGAGTTCTGCGCGTCTTGTTTCAGCTTCCCGTTAAAAGGGCGGCTGGGATTGGTTTGGATCTAGCTGAATGTAGACGCCCATACATGAACCCCTGGTTCGAACCCCCTACTTTTTTTGGTGAATTTTCCGTTAGTTGTGGCTGAAAGCTATGGGAGATCGGCTTTCAAAGGGCCAACATGGCCATGGGTTCACATATGGACCACCATCAGGCTTTGATTGGAAGTGGTCCGCGGCAGCTTCCCATTTTTACTCTACAACCAGCGGTTAAACTCCCCGAAACACCGATCCAACCGCCAATAAAGCTTTAGGTTATCTGATAGCCATCTAAAGAAGTACAAGGACCCCTGGACCCTCGTGTTCACGAGGAAAACCCAGGATGGGATGTGTAGCTAGAACCTACCATATTAAGAGTATCTTACGTGAGAGCGCAAGCCAAACCTTGCTTTGCATGCGTTGCTCAATTAAAGGCAAAATGATGGAAACTTAGGCTCTCGTAGGGCTCGGCTACCTGCATGCGAGTTCATAATCGTTCCCCCAGAAGCGCGAGATGCACCAAGAAAGCTAAGCTTTCGTCAAGTCGCAAACCCCAGCCATTTGCAAGTTGGCTAACATTGCCCAGAACCTGGCTCCAGCAAGTTTAGCTTTCCACGAAACTAAAGCATGGTTGCGGAACATCAGCCCTTTGAGACCAAGGTGGGCCATCTTCATAGGTCACTTGTTCAGAATCTGCGGCCATGGTGCATCGAGGATGTCCTGCTGCATGAAGTGGGAGAAAATGAAACCGCTGACCTGAAACTCGCTTTAGGCTTCTCAGCCAAGGGGTGTGTCTCTTTCTCAGGGTACACTTTTTAAGGGGAAACGGAAAGGCAAACCGCCCCCAAAGCAGGCCTTTTGACATGCGCCGCCTGAAGAAAGGGGAAAGGGCGACCACAGTTTTGACTCGACAAATGGTGCGGGAAAAAAACATTACCCTGTAACAAATCCTTCGCACATCAGCCACGGTTAAAGGACAAGGGAAATTAGGTTCGTCCCCTCCCCCTGCCCTAGGCCAGGTTTTGGTGAAAGATTTTGGTGGCTCCCCCCAAAGAAAAGAACATTATCAAAAAAAAAAGTGTTCCCCTAAACATTCACCCTAGGCTGCGGGCCAGTGTGACTGTCTGTGCCACACAGCACTACGTACCTGAAGCTAATGTCGAGCCTAGGTGGTCCTTTGGGCCCCTTTTTGGTGACAAATTCGAATTCAAAATTTACCTCCAAGAGGGGTTGGTGGTTGTACAAATCCTTCTGTAAATGTTCACCCCTGAAAAAAGCAATTTGGGCGAAAGTGGCGCATATCAGAGGGGACTGAATCCTAATTGAGTACAATTGTCCTTCTTCAAGCAGGTAGAAACTGGGCCACCAGTTATTTTAGCTCCAGCCTGTTGGCACTTGTTTGGCTCAAAGGGAACTTGGGGAGAACTGGCTCTTGGTTTGAAAACGTCAAACATCCTTCTTTTCAAAAACCGGATCCGTTTTCCCTGGGCCCTGGAACGGAAATGGAAGGTACCCTAGAACATCTTGATTTCTGAAACCACTTTGGTGGCCCCTCCCCTTTGTCCAGCCAAATAACACCTTTTACACCTAAACATGGCTGGGTCTCCAAAAATCGGAACCTCTAACATAGGTGATTCCCCTTGGTTTCCCTTTATATATGTATATATATATATATCTAAAAAAGGGTGCCCCAAAAAGAAGCATACCCATTTTCTATTTTCTCCCCTGATCCCGGGCGCAAAACTGAGCCCGGCGCAATGATGCCCACAGCCCCCGGGAGCCGCAGGGCGCGGAAGAGGCGGCTGAAGGCATAGCCTCGAGTGATGCGATCGATGCGATGCGATGCAGGGTACGTGGATCCCAGAATCAACCAACCCGGATAAATAAAATCCGCACCCTTGTTAATCTGGTGTCTTCGTGCTGTGGGCCAAGTTTAGTGAGGGATCATTTGGGTGTGGTTCTCAAAATTAAACGATCGGGGCAAAACCGCAGGTTTTGGTCCATGTTTCCACTTACCAGGGCAACCCATTTTGGGTACCGGCTTTTTGAGCCACAGCCAGATGAATCAACCAACCAGCTTTTTGAATTCAATGGTGGGGGAGTGGGGGCCCTCCAAAAGTGGTCTTATTCCCCAAAAAAAAACCAGGGGCGATGTTTTTGCAGGGTACGTCAGGCAAGTGATTGTCCTTTCCATGGGGTTTGGCAACCCAGAAAAGCCATGGCCAGGAGTATACGAACCGCTGTACAGAGTAGATTGATTAAGCCTGGTGAGGTAAGCAGGTTACCATGGGTATACTAAGTGGGTAACCAAGGCCTACTAAGTACCCATGGTACCTTGATTGTTCGTCTCCCCGGGCATAAGCCAAGCCTAAGTGCCCTGCCCCCTTTACGCGGGTTCTCTTTCCGAAGGCCGAAATCAACGTCCTTTCTGTCCCTCACTTCCGATCGAGTAATGGGTCAGAACAAGTAATACAAAACGTGTTTTTTGCCGCTAAATGGGTCTTCCCAAAGAGTAGAAATGCCAGGAAGTGAGGTCCTATATAAACCTCACTTGGGTTGTATAAAAAGGCGTGATAAACTGGTCGATCCTTTTCGGGGTTATGGTGTTTTTTTACTCTTTATCGTGCAGGGTTTTGCATCTTGGGTAAAAAAAGGACCGGCCCAGCAATGAAGTAGTAGTACCCCCTCCAGTTGCCCAAAGGGGCTGAAAATGGACGCCAAGTGAGCAATCCTCCGCAAACTATGAGCCTCTTTGCTCCCTTTTATTGATTGTTCGCACAGCACAGCTTTTCTTCGTCCTTTCTACCTGTTCGTGGTTGCGGAAGTTGCTTTTAGGGCCAATGTTCGATGATACCAAGGGATTTGGGTTCGTAATGCGGGCACTATTTCTAATTGTACATGATTTAGGTTGGGATTCATGTCCACGAAGCGCTTTTGAGGTGGCTCCCCTTGAAGATCATAGTCCTACAAGTCGATACAATTCGCCTAGTCTGTGTCACCAAGAGAAAAGAAATGCCTAAAAAGATCCATTCAAAGCCCATTGCCTGGCCATGTTACAATTCCAGGCAAGTGCAGCTCTTTACACATGTGTCTTTTGGCCTTTCCCAAAGTTTCCGTTGCAATAAACATGGTCAAGGAAAATAGGTCCCTTCTGCTCTTCTACAAAGGTCAGAGAAACGGCACACAAATCGAGAAACATATTTGCCCAATGTCCCACCCATCGCGCAAGGAACAATATGCTTTGCTTTTGGCCCCCTGCTCGACGTTAGCGTTGGAGACTTCGGGGGGAAAGGGCTCTGAGAGAAGGATTGCCTTGCGAACCGCTCAGGTGAAAATAATTACCAGATGCTTAAGATCAAACCAATTTTCCCGAGGACATGGGGAAAATAGTCGGTTCGTCCCCGTCAGAGCTCCCTGTGCCTCCCACGGATGTTCGATTCGCCAAGTTAGTCGCCTGGGTTGCAACCCACGCATCGCCCAGGAAGCCTCCACTTAGAGACACTTTAAGCGGGTGGCTTGGGTTACTAGGTCCTCCAGTTCAGTAGAGAGCTTAGAACTAGTTGGTACCGAATTTTTGTTCTGTCTATTTTAGGGGAACCGAATCTCCCAACCAAAAAGGATTTATGGCCAAAGGGGCACCAATTGCTGGGGGGCCTAGGGGTTACGAACCACGTACCAAACCTGGCCGAGACCAAGGAGATGAACCGCTTGGCTCTTCGAAGGGCTTCGGCTGATCCAACGGCTACCACGCGTTGGTAGCTTGTTCCCCCAGGAACATCTCCGTTTGCGGTTTCGGCCTGGCAAAAAGACCCCAATGGGAAACCTCGATTTTTTCAGGGGGCCCCGGACATTTCGGGTGGGTTCCCCTTTTTGTTTCCTTTGAAACCAAACAGTGCCCTCAAAGAAAGACAGATAGGTTGCCTTCAAACCCCACGGGAGAAAAACAAAAACCTCTTAGCAAACTGAAGAGCCAAACACGTGGGCCCGTTGATCCATTGGGGACCCGGACCCATTTTAGGGGGTCCGTCACGCCGAATGCCACTCCTTTCATCCGACGGGTCTGAAAAATCCGACAGTTTTTGTTGGCTTCCAACAAACGTGGCTGGTGCCAGCGGGTTCCGCCTGTTTGCTCCTTTGCGATCCGTTGTTCTGTGGTAAACTGGATTCGTCCAACAGAGAACCAGCCAGACATAGCTTCCACCAACAAACGTGGTTTGGCGCACCTTCCGCCCCGATGCAAGACTTGCCTTTTGGGAAAGGGGCTGAAGGTGCGCCAAACCATGTTTCTTGGGAGGGTAGCTGGGAAAAAACGCTTTCAAATTCGGAAAAGCCTTGCCCTCCTCTCGCCCCTCCCGACGCCTGAGAGAAACAAATACGCGAGCCCCAGGTGGATGGGATAGGGCACGCCACGCACCATGCTAAGCCAACACCAGCGTGATGCGCGTAAGCCTGCGGATAAGGTGGGGGGGGGGGTTGCCGTTCAAAGCCGACACCTCAACTTGTAGCTGTTGACCTTGTTAGTACTGAAAGAATTCCCAAGAAAAGGTAGCAGGTCCAACCAACTACCACTCAAACATAATATGTTTATGTGTAAACGTAGTTGTGGGCTTTGGGTAGAGTCCTCGTCGGGCTGGGGTTTGCCATTGAACAGTTCGGCTAGAAATCATGTAAGAGACCAGGTCGTGATTCCGGGCTGACGGAGCCGGAGAATCCCATCCGTCCTGACTTTCTTTGACGCGCTGGATCAAAAATTATTGGGCGAGTCTGGACTGGCGTCCAGGGGGTTCCAGGGCGTCCAGCAACTGCACGTGGGTTGTTTCATGGTCCTTGTGCACGTCCATAGCCCGAGAATCTCGAGCCAATGCTGGCGAGACCTGCAACGGTGACTTCAAGTGAGAAAGCAATGGAATCCACGCTCGGCTGGGTGGCTCGTCTTGGTGAGTCACAGGACAGCACTGTGGGAAAATGGAATCCACTGTGATGCAACAAAAAGATGGCTTCCCAAAGACAACTTCCCAACCATAAGTATAGGGGGAGATCCCCAAAAGTAGCACAGAAGTGGTTTTGAAAACCCCGAGTGATCCCACAAGCCTGGCTGGCGCCGTGGATGGGACAAGCAAAACAAGGGGGGCAAACTCCAAGGGGTGAACCGAACCTATCGAGAGCAAAAAGCCTTGTTTTTTTGCAGACCCCCAGTAAAAATGAACAGAACCAAAGAACTAAAAATACCAAAAAACATGCCAAGAACAGTGAAGATGGACCACCTGTCCGATCGACACATTGCCATGCTGACCTGAAAAGTAAGTGCCTGCGAGCTGTTTGACAACTGCAAGGTTCAGGGGATGATGTTGCTACAGCACAGGACTGCACTAGATACTATTCCTATGATGCACCAACCTAAATTAGGTGCAACATATTTGCCCAGTGTTTGGTTTGGAGGGGGGGGGAGGGGCATCTGGCATGGTAAAACCGGTAAAACACCCTCTTGCCAAGAACCCAAGAAGTGGAACACGACCCAACCGTCCACTTCCATGTTGGAGAAACGGTGGCAAACCTCACTGGCAGCGCTTTACCGGGTCTGCGAAAGTGACATCCTCAAAATGGCCCACTGGACGCCACTAAAGACCTTGCCACCAAGGTAGTTTTGAGAATCGGCTCCTAAAAATTCCACCACTGCGGATCCTGTTTTTAGCGAGCCTGACTGGCCTCACTGACGAGGACAACTCATCACCACCCTAATATGAGTGTGTTTATTTTTTGAGGGACCCCCCCCCTCCGAAGAAAAAAGGAATAAACAAAAAGTTGTGTTCCTTTGGTTTCCCTTTAACACCGCCAAACGATGGATACCTCACAAAATGACACCCCCATATTTCGATCCCCCTAAAATCTAAAACGGTTTTAGGAGGCCCAGGTACACTTCGACCTGAAAAATCTCAAAGGCCCCGGGCCTCGGGGTCATGGGGTCATGGGGTGTGCTGAAAGCTCTTGGCCCACGCCCAACACTGCGAAGTGCAACATGGGTTCGGAACCCGCGAACTGGCTCCTCGGATTTTCAGCCAGCCAGAAAACCTTCGCGCGGATCCAGACCGATCTCTCAACGCGGAACAAAGTCTGGTCCTTCCCACACATGGACCCGTTGCTCGTGCTTTTGCCGAAAGAAAACCACGTCCAGGAACACAAATTGCTCCTTTCGACCCTTTCCCTGAGACCTATTTGGCAAGCCTGGCGGAAACCCGCGCCGTTGGCTCATACATGTTACCAAGAACGTGGTCTAAAAAGCACTACCTGGAGTCTCCATGGCCCTTACAAAAAAGGTCATTATCCAAAATAATGGGGGTCATTGACCCCATTTTTTAAGGGTTATGGAGACTCCAGGTACTTCAAGGGGCGATCAGGTACTTGGTAAGTGGGTCATAACCATGGTGAGATAACCCACGAAAGCCATGGGTATAGTCTCGCAATTGGGTAATAACCATGGTAACCCACAACAGCCATGGTTATCAGTCGCGCAAGTGGGTTACAACCAGAGTTATTACCCACTAGCCTGACGTACCGAATCGATCGCCCCTTTAAGTATCCTGTCCAGAACCAGGGCTACATTTGTCATGGTACCCCTAGGGGACGCCTTGGGACGCACAAGGACAAGCTCGGGGCAAATCAACGCCCTGACTCATTTCCGTCTGGCCAATGGAAATCCCTGGACCTATTCTGTGCCACTGCACTGGTCTTCTGACTCTTTGACTAGAATGGGATTATTGGGTACTTGAAAACCACACTTAGCCATGGTTGTAGGGATAAACTGATAGTATTTAGTTTGCCCCTTATCCAAAAAATTCCAGGAACCGGGGTCCCACCTCACCCCCAATACGCGCGCGTGGGCCCTTTGCCTTCGGCGCACTTTGTTCATTCCGGGCGCCACAGAACGGTTTCGCCGAGTTCCCACGGCACCAAGGTCACTTTGACCCCAGGCAGGCTTAAAGGGGCGATCGATTCGGTACGTCAGGCAGGTGGGAAATCACCATGGGAAATAACCCACAAAAGCCATGGTGATGTTCTCCGTTCCGCGGGGAAGGCTTACTAACCCCGCGCTCACTTCTAGCTTCTCACCTGCCTAGCGCCCATGGAACGCAGGCCACATGGGACGCTTTCCGCTTTCCGCCTTCGCTTGGCGAAGCTTTCGAGCGATCACTCGCGGTCACTTCGTGGTTGACTCCGAGTCACTGTCCTCGGGCTCCTCGGATCGGGCAACAAGGCTCGAGGGGGTCTCTTCACTAGGTCCTCCAGTAGAGAGGTTAGAATAAGGGTACCAACTTTTTTTATGTAGTCTATTTTAGTAGGGGAACCCTCTCCCAAAAAAGGGTAAAAGGGCACTACTGGGGGGCCTAGTTCATGAAAATCCTGGATTTGGATTTGGCCTGTGCTAAAGGAGTGCGAATCAGAGTGCCACAATTTCGGCCATCCTCCTCTGTTCATGGCTTGGATTGGAACCCGTGCCTCTTGTAGAGGGTAGATGGGAGACCGCCCCTAACCAACCGCCGGGCTCCAAAAAAGCACCAAGAGGGAAGCTGAACAATTGGCGGAATCCACTTGGGCGTCCAAAAATGGTATCACTTCGCCATAGGGATCCGAAGGTGCCCGGCTCCAATGTAGTTGGGAACATGAAAGGTTACCTCCTGGTCTCCTCTCAAAGCGTTTGAACAAAGAAGCTTCTAGAGGGAAGCTTGGTGTTCGATTCGCCAAGTAAGTTGTTGATCTAAGTGACATGCTTCCCATTTTTGCCGTGACTCTGTCGACTCCAGCCTTGTTCGTGGGTTGCAGGTGGCCAACCCATCCAAGTTTCATAATGCTTGAATGAGATATCCTCACGTCGCCCTGAAAAACAGGTACCTTCAAGGGCAAGCACTTCGGTACCAATTGGTTGCTATCCTTCCAAGAAGGCTCCCGAAGTGACATGCGTCCGAGTAATAAGCTGGGGTTTGTGCATCTGGGGTTCCCATGTCCCCTTTGTGGGGGGGGGTCGGATTCCTAAACTAGACATCGGGGCCCACGGAACCCCTCTCGTGATTCGACTTACGGACTCCATCCCGAAAACAAAGCATCCAGTACCCTCTTGGGAGGGCCTGAATCCTTGCTAGAATCATGGAGGTTCCCCCAATTCGGACACAAGGCGACAATTGAACTCGGCCCGGGCCTAAACCCCTGAAGCCGTCTCCTCATCTCCAGTGTTGGCGTGGCCGGTGGCAGCATACTGCCATATCCTGCTTGCACTTGCCGAATTCGAAGGGCGCAACCACAATTTGAACGTACCATTCATATGGAGATTGGCCCCAAATACCCATGGAGAACTTTTCCCATGTGGGAAATATCATGTTTTTTTCCCCCCAACGGCTGAAAGCTTTGGGGTCTCAGCCCAGATAGGCTCCGGGGTGGTCCGGGGCGGCCCTGAGGTAAGGTTCCACGAGGGTTCCACCAGGGTTCCACGAGGTTCTGCGCGGGGTGGCGCGAGCACTAAAAAGAGCACCGCATGCTGTTGGGGATATCTATCACCCGAGCTTTTCTTTTTTTTCTCGGGTTTCCCCAGTGGGCATCCCATGTACAGGATCTTTGATCAACCCCTCATAGGTCATTTGCGCAGTCACAGCTGCTTGGTGGCACATGTGCTGATTTGGGACCGCCACAAGAGCCTATAAGAGACGAATGGGAACCGCGAATTAACAAACCACTGGTTGACTCATATGATATCACCTGATAGTAGGGGGTGCCTCCTTTTTCATGGGGATTCATCACTTTGGAGGGGACGCCCAAAATTAATCTGGGAATGACATCTTCAACACCATCCTGAACTAGGGTACCCTCAAAACTCACGCCCGAATATGTTTTTGCAAATGGCCAGGGGCATTTTCAGGCATGTGGTGCTTGGAGGTATGGATGCTTATATTACAAACCGCTAATGTAAGCTTGTAAGGATGAATGTACCCCTTGTACAAATTGTACATTAGCTCGGTACCTCCATATATGAAAGTGAAGTAAACATATCGGGGACAGCTACTGCAGCGACGTGTGGTGCGTCCCATCTGCAAGGCATCCGGACAGCCAGCCAATCTACCTTTTCGGCTCTCTCCCCAGTAGCTTCAGTTGCCACTGCCGGTATCCATGAAGAACACTGCTGGAGATGGATACTTCATGTTTGTGGGAAGTATACCTTTCGGAATGACCACCGTTGCACTTCAGAGGCGCTCCTTCGGTATCACAGACAGTGGATCTAAAACTCAATTTCCGACAACTGCGGCGAGAAACATCATGTTTCGTGACCAGACTTAGACCCCCTGCGCAACGAGAAGCTACTTGCCGGTTGAAAGGAAAGATGAAGGACACCCAGGGCAAAACGTTGAAGCGGTCAGCTAAGTCATTTTATGGGCTTTGTTCGACCACCTTCCAGCATCCCCCTCGTTCAAAGCCGCC